TCTGCTTTGATCTTTATTATTTCCTTCCTTCTACTCACCTTGAGCTTTCTTTGTTCTTCTTTCTTTAGCTCCTTTAGTTTTAAGTTTACACTGTTTATTTGAACTTTTTCTTGTTTCCTGAGGTAGGCCTATATTGCTATATATTTCCTTCTTGAAATTACTTTGGCTGTGTCCCAAAGATTTGGACCATCATGTTTCCATTTTCATTTGTCTCCATTTTTTTTTTTTTACTTTCTTCGTTTCATTGACCTATTTGTTGTTTAGTATCATGTTTAGTTTTCATGTACTTGTGCTTTTTCCGCGATTTATTTCTAGTTTCATACCATTATGACCAGAAAAGATGCATGGTTTGATTCAGTCTTCTTAAATTTGTTGAGGTTCGTTTTGTGGCCTAACGTGATCTATTCTGGAGAATGGTCCATGTGCACTTGAGAAGAATGTGTATTCTGTTATTTTTGGATGGAATGTTCTGTATGAATTTGTTAGGTTCATCAGGTCCAATGTGTCATTCAAAGGCAGTCTTTCCTTGTTGATTTTCTGCCTGCATGATCTATCCATTGATGTAAGTGGGCTGTTAAAGTCCCCTACTATTATTGTATTACCATCAATTTCTCTCTTTATGTCTTCAATTTGCTCTATGTACTTAGATGCTCCAGTGTTGAGTATGTAGATATTTACAACTGTTACATATCTTTATTGGATTGATCCCGTTATCATTATGTAATCCCCTTCTTTGTCTCTTGTTACAGTCTTTGTTTTTAATTCTATTTTGTCTAAGTATTGCTACCTTGGCTTTTCTCTTGCTTCCACCTGTACAGTAAATGTTTTTCCAGCCCTTCACTTTCAGTTGGTATGTGCCTTTAGGTCTGAGATGGGTCTCTTGTGGGCAACGTATAGATGGGTCTTGTTTTTTTAACCATTCCACCACCCTGTGTCTTTTGAAGAGAGGATTCAGGCCATTTACATTTAAACTTATCATTGACAGTTATGTATTTATTGCCATTTTATTTGTTTTCTGGTTCTTCTTGTAGTTCTCTGTTCCTTTCTTCTTCTCTTGCTTTTTTTCTTTGTGATTGATTGGTTTCTGTAGTGCTGTTAGCTTTCTTTCTCTTTATTTTTTGTATATCTATTATAGGTTTTGGGTCTGTGGTTACCATGAGGTTCATATATAACATCCTAAGTAAACAGCAGTCTATGTTAATTTGATGGTTATTCAAGTTCAAACACATTCTAAAAAAAGAAAAAAAAACTTTTCTTTTTTCCCTTCCCTTTTTTTCTCCCTCCCCCATGTTTTATGTATATACTGCCATATTTTACATCTTTTTATTCATAATTTTCTTAGGCATAATTATGGCCAGTCCTTTTCTACCTAAAGAAGTCCCTTTAACATTTCTTGTAAGGCTTGTTTAGTGGTGATAAACTCCTTTATCTTTTGTCCAGGAAACTCTTTATCTCTCCTTCAAATATGAATGACAACCTTGCCAGGTAGAGTATTCTTGGTTGTAGGCTTTTTCCTTTCAGTGCTTTAAATATATCATCCCAGTCTCTTCTGGCCTGAAAAATTTCTGCTGAAAAATCAGCTGATAGCCTTATAGGTTTTCTCTTGTAGGTAACTTTTTCTCTCGTGCTGCTTTTAAAATTCTCTCTTTGACATTTTAATTATTATGTGTTGGGGTGAACCTCCTTGGGTTTGTCTTGTTTCTAACACTTTATGCTTTTTGGACTTAGATGTCTATTTCCTTCCCAAGGTTAGGGATGTTTTCAGCTACTATTTCTTCAATCAGTTTCTATTCTTTCTTTCTACTTCTGGGACCCCTATAATGCGGACATTTGTTTGCTTGATGTAGTCCAAGAGATCACTTAACCTATCCTCATTTTTCAGATTCTTTTCTCTTTTTGCTGTTCAGCTTGTGTGCTTTCCATTACCCTGTGTTCCAGATCATGTACACATTCTTCTGCATCACTAATCTACTATTGATTCCCTCTAGTGTGTTTTTTAATTACAGTTATTGTGGTCTTCAACTCTGGTTCTTTTTTATATTTTCTATCTCTTTAGTGAAGGTCTCATTGAGTTCTCCCACTCTTCTCCCCAGCCCAGTATCTTTTTTTTTTTTTTAATTTATTTGTCAGAGAGAGAGAGAGAGAGAGAGCACAAGCAGGGGGAGCAGCAGAGAGAGAGGGAGAAGCAGGCCTCTCACAGAGCAAGGAGCCCGATGCGGGACTTGATCCCAGGACCCTGGGATCGCGACCCGAGCTGAAGGCAGACGCTTAACGACTGAGCCACCCAGGCATCCTGCCCAGTGAGTATCTTTATGATCATTACTTAAATTCTTTAATCAGGCATATTGCTCATCTCTCTTTCATTTAGTTCTTTTCCTGAGGCCCTTTGTTATTCTTTCTTTTGAAGCATATTCCTCTGTCCCTTCATTTTACCTGACTTTCTGTATTTGTTTCTATGGATTAGGTGGAACAGCTACTTTTCGTAAATTTGAAGGAATGGTCTTGTGTATGTATGGTCTGTCCCCTTTGTAGACTGTGCTTGCCAACTTTTCCAACTGACAAACTTTTGAACTACTGAGTGGAGGTACTACTACTTGCCCACCAATATTTCACCTTTGCCACAATCACTACTTAAGGTGCATCTTTGTGAAATTATTAGAATCCCTAGTTGGTATTGGGGGGGGAGGAAGACGGTGCAAGTGCTAATATTAGCAAAAAGAAGCATCTCCAATTTAACTGTTTTCTCTTCTCAAGCCAGTCTTCCATTACTCAATTATGAAGGGTGGATAATAAAATGAAAGAATGTGCACAAATATTTGAACTATATTACTGAAGACTATATCTAAAAGGGTAAGAGCAATTTGGGATTTTATATTTGTTAACTCACTGAGCACCTGCTTTATAACATGTAAATCTGATTTAACCTCTGTGGCTTTCATCCATGTTTCTATGAATACATGTTCATAAATCTGAATACGTGAGAATCTCAAGACATTTTTAGAGGACGTGAAGCATCTGCTTTTTTTGAGAGGATGTTAAACTTGTTTTAAGGAAAATTTTATATATTAATTAGTTATGTTGGCCCTACAAGTATTGGGGGACTGAAGTAGTCAGAAGAAAAGGATGTCCTAAGAGAGGGGCAGATAAAAATGTTTAAATCCATCTTTAAAAAATTAATCACATCTTAAAATAAAATGAAATTTTAAGTTAATTCTATTATCCATTCTGTCACTGTGCATCTTCCTTTCACTTTTTTTAAAGATTTTATTTATTTATTCATGAGAGACAGAGAGACAGAGAGAGAGAGAGAGAGAGAGAGAGAGAAAGAGGCAGAGGGAGAAGCAGGATCCCCTCTGAGCAGGGAGCCCGATGCGGAACCCAATCCCAGGACCCTGGGATCATGACCTGAGCTGAAGGCAGATGCTTAACCACCTGAGCCACCCAGGTGCCCTTCCTTTCACTTTTTAAATGAAGAGGCTGTAGGGGCACCTGGGTGGCTCAGACAGTTAAGCATCTGCCTTCGACTCCGGTCATGATCCCAGGGTCCTGGGATTGAGTCCCACATCAGGCTCCCTGCTCCGTGGGGAGCCCACTTCTCCCTCTGTCTCTGCCTCTCTCTCTCTCTCTCTCATGAATAAAATCTTTAAAAAAATAAAAATAAAAAAATAAGTGAAGAGGTTGTCTACAGTTCCTTATTTCCTACTTTATGTGACTTTTATCATTAAAAATAATCTCTATACCATCTTGAGGCTTTCTGCTGTTTTTGCTGTTTAAGACACAACTCTCTCCCCCTTAATACTTTATCCTTTTTTCTTTTTTTAAGATTTTATTTATTTACTTGATAGAGAGAGACACAGCGAGAGAGGGAACACAAGCAGGTGGAGTGGGAGAGGGAGAAGCAGGCTTCCCGAGGAGCAGGGAGCCCGATGTGGGACTCGATCGCAGGACCCTGGGATCATGACCTGAGCCGAAGGCAGACGCTTAACGACTGAGCCACCCAGGCGCCCCAATACTTTATCCGCTTTAACTCTCTATCCTTTCTTAGTTTTGGACAGTGACACAAGATTATGTATAAACTTGACTAGGACAAAGGGTGCCCAGATATTTGGTCAAACATTATTCCCATCCAGGATTTAGTCATTCTATCTCATTAGCCTTTATGTCTCTAATGACTTTCAGAGTTTTAAGGAAGCCTGGGGTCAAGTATTTTGTAGACTATCCCTCAATTTAGGTTTATGTGATATTTTTCTCATAGGTTATAGGTTTTGGAGAGTAAGTGCCATTCTTTTTTTTTAAGATTTTATTTATTTATTTTTGCAAGGGGGGGGGCACAGATGAGGGGGGGGGGCAGAGGGATAAGCAGACTCCCCGCTGAGCAGGAAGCCTGATGCAGGACTCGATCCCAGGACCTTGGCATCATGACCTGAGCCAAAGGCAGTCACTTAACCAAGTGAGCCACCCAGGCACCCAGGAAGAGCCATTCTCAACATATCATAAGAAAGGCATACATGGCATAAACATGACATCACTGATGATGCCAACTTGGATCACCTGGTCAAGAGACGGTCTGTCAGATTTCTCCAATGTAAAATGACTCCCATCCACCTTCCCATAGCCTACTCTTTGGAAGCAATTAACTAAATTCAACCCATACTGAAGGGGGAATGCTGAGTTAAGCTCAAAGACGTACCTATGTAAATTACCTGCTATTCCATACAGATTTGTCTCTTCTCTCCCATTTATTTATTTAATAGAATTAATTTCTGTCCCCAAGTCAATTCTCCTTTCTACCATGAATGGCATCAGCATTCCCTTGGTGAGCAACCCCCACATGCCCAATGGGACTCTGGGTTCACCTTTGATTCCTTTTTCTCCTGCATGTCTCATATCTTAGTCCTGTAACAAGCTCTCCCAAGTCATCTTTTTTTTTTTTTTTTTTTTTTTTGGAGGGACTTCTTGTTTTTACTGATACTTATTTTTTTAACAAGTCTGCTATATGGTAATGCAGTATTTTATTTATTCTGTTCATTAATAACTAATACTCAAGAACTTTTATAATATTAATATAACTTAATCTAAAAGAATCAACTTACTTTGTTTCCATTTCAATACTGGGTACGAGAGAGAGTCAAAATAATTATGGTCAAAATTATTATATAAAAAATTATAGTAAACGCTCGGTGTTAGTCTCCATACAATTTAGTTTTTGGCATAAAGTTATTTAGTTGCCAGGAAGAACATTTGGTTTACTTCACTAATAGGAATATCTCTTAATGCCGGGATGGCCTCTTCTTGGTATTTCTTCTGCTGTTGATTTTTAGCATAGTTATCTGTGATTGTATGAATGGAGTTGAGTGGAGAGGTACTCATCATGTTTATTCCAAATAAGAGTACATAACCAACTACTATAGTAATGAGGAAGTAGACGGGCAATGCAATTGCCCAGTATTTTTGAGGCCAATAGGTTAATCCCAAGGAGTTTAGCCAAGATTCAGGAATAAATGCCCACACGAGATACAAGATGAAGCCAAACTGGGAGCTTAAGAAAAGAACAAAGCCATAAATCGCTCTTTCTGGCAATGGAGACGGTGAATTTTCCACCATTTTCCCTGTGGCTTTAGACAATCCTCCTGACAGCTCGGCCACTACAGCTCCAAGTCCCCCGCGCAGGCCCCTTCCAGAAAGCCTCCGCGGGGGCGAGAAAAGGAAGAACTAAAGAAAAGGCCGAGTCTCTAAGTCGCCCCCTTGGCCGCCCCCCCCCCAAGTCATCTTTTTTCACTGTTGTTCAGACTAAGTCAATCTCTCTTTCTTTTGTCATTGCTTTAATCCAGGCCGTCCTCATTTTCTAGATGATTTAAATAAGCTCTTAGCAGGACTTACTTTTTTTTCCTCCATGTGTTTTTCTACTCCAAACTGTCTTTTGTATCACACAGTCTACACTGTATGAGACAGAAATGTCTGCGAAGGCAGAAAGAGTATTCCTGACTCTAAATTTGTACCTAGAATATAGAAAGTGAATAAATAAATGCTGGGAAGTAGAAAATACAACAAAATTTTTCTTCACAGTTTAGTCTTCATGCTAGGAAATAAAAACAACCTACAAAAAATTAAATAACAGAAATATTTAAATCTTAATTATTTTAAACCTAATACATATTACTAAGGTGTGAATGAAAAATATATATAATCACAGGTAGAATGTAAATGTCAGTTAAGAAAATATTTAAGAAGCTAGAAAAGAAAAATGTCTTTGCCTGGAAAAATAATGTAGGTAGTCTAAGAATCCAGATTCTTCAATAGTCTTCCAAAACCTAGTGTTCTGAACTTTCTATAGGAGAAAATCTTGACTAAAATGACATATCCTATACCACAGGGATCCAATCCTATCTTTTGATCTGTAAGCAGCAGATAATGTAGTATAGCTTTGTCAACTATTTAACACAAGAAATAAAGGATGGTAGGACAGTGGCAAAAATGGGGGGGGGCGGGCAGGGCGGGACAAAGCTTATTTTTGTTGAGGAAATGAAGTGTGAGTTGCCCAAATGTCATTTACTTCTCCTTGCTTTTATAAAATGCTAATAATATATCTGACTAGAAAGCTTTTTAAATTCTTATTGTTAATATAAAGAGATATGATTGCATAGAGGTTAAAAACTGTTTAAATCAGCAAAACACTAAAACTTCGTTATTATAAAGTTCTCCAATTTATTGAGAACTGAGGACTGATTAACAGCTGAGATCTATAATTCATGGTATGAAACATGAGCACTGGCCTCCTGGACTTGCCTTTCAGATAGAATTTTTTGTCTCCTGTGTTTTGTTTTTCAGTGGAAAGAACACAGTAAGTCATCTGTGTTGCGAACATCTCCCTCAGCTCTAGCCTAGCTCACAGTGGTTCAGTGATGTATGACGCCAGCTCTTTAGGATGTGAAATGAGCAAAACGGCAGGTATCTCTTTATTCTAATGAAAGAAGTGAAGTAAAAACAGTAGAGTTCCCTAGGACATAGAACTGATCTTGTTTTGGGTCACCTCAGAAAACTCCCAAAGACAAAAGTCACTGCTTCCAATACACTGAGCTCCTGTTTGTCTCTCCCACTTTTAATCCTACTCTGTTCCAGCACTTCAGGTGGGACTTCATTCCTGGGAAGAGATATCAAATGATTCCAACCTCAGACTATACATGCAACATTCCTAAGTGTTTCAGGGACTCAGACAATGACAAACAATAAAACATTTGCAAACAATGCTGGCATAGATGGAGTAGGAATAAGAGCTACTGTGGCCATCCTGCCACCAGTTAGAGGCTATGAAGGAAGCCAACCCAAAAGCAGAGGGAAGAGAAAAGTAAGTCCAGATAAGAGGTTGAGCTCCAGTATCCAGCTAAACCTGAAGCCAATGTTATTCTTTATTACAGTTATATAAAGCAAATTCTCTTTTTAGCTTAACCTAGTTTGGATAGGGCTTCCTGTTACCACAAAAGAATCATAACCCTTAACTGATTTAGTGACATGAAATTTTTTTTTTGTTTAAGATTTTACTTATTTACTTGACAGAGAGAGAGAGACTGAGCACAAGCAGGGGGAGCGGCAGGCAGAAGGAGAAGCAGGCTCCCCACTGAGCAGGAAGCCTGACACAGGACTCGATCTCAGTATCCTGGGATCGTGACCTGAGCCGAAGGCAAATGCTTAACCGACTGAGCCACCCAGGTGCCCTGATGAACATGTACTTCTTACTTAAATCTCACTCAGATAAAACAAAGGTGAAGGAAACATTAGAATAATTTTATTATCTTTGATCTAGCCCATGTTTATCTAAAGTTGTAATGACAACACAGTAAAAGTCTCTTTTCTTTTAAAGAAATCCAATGGTATTTGGATTTCTTTAAAAGAAAAGAGACACACTAAATGCTAAGTGCAATGGAGTCACCCAGTAAAATTTAAGAGGATACAGGAAAATGAAACATAGTACTTTTATCTTTTTTTGTTTTGTTTTGTTTTGTTTTTTTTACAAATCTACACCTTTATTTACTTTTCATTAAATTTAAATCCTTGAGGGGTACAGCATCACACGGATTCTGTGGCCAATGGCTTTAGCAGGAAGGTTGCTTCAGAATTTGGCACGAACCATGCCACTGTTTCCATTAGCACGAGTTACTTTTCCCCAGATTACTCTGGTTTTGTTTGGTTTGCCACCAGGAGTCACTGTGCTGTTCTTTGCTTTGTACACATAAGCACATCTCTTGCCTAGAGAGAATTCCGTTTCATCTTAAGCATAAACACCTTCGATTTTAAGAAGAGCTGTATGCTCCCTCTGGTTCCGGAGACCCCGCTTATAGCCAGCAAAAATGGCCTTGGACCACAGTGTTCTAGACATTATTTGGCGTTATAGGAGTCCTGTTCCCAGCAGGCCTCCACAGACTCCAAGATGGCGGAAAAGGAAACATGTACTATGTTTCTTTTAAGACATTAAAGCTTATTATTCTACAGTCTGGCAAATGGGCCTGTTTAGTTCCGAAGAACAACTTCTGCCTAGTGTCTTCCAAAAGTAACATGACATACTTTCATATCACTTATCTTTCTAATCACAATGGGTGATTAGATCCCAATTGGGATCTCTCAGCCCTCTAAATTACATTTTTCAGTAAGGCCTGGAAGAGTTACTAAATTTTCACCTGCTTATTTGAAGTCTCATCTGTTTTTTAATGGGCAGATGGCAAACTACAAGTTTATATCTCAAAATTACACAAATTCTATTAACAGATCTCTGGCTACAGCTATAGTATGCTGAAATCCTGCAAGGTATTTCAATGATAGTCTCACAGAAGAACAAATCAAATGAGTTCTGTAGAACTATTAAAAATAAAATGCCTGCCTCTCTGGAAGACCCAGAAGCTGATTACATGTAGGTAATCCTGGAAAGAAGTCATCCTGTTTTTTTTTTTTTTTTAAGATTTTATTTATTTATTTGAGAGAGAGAATGAGAGAGAGAGCACATGAGAGGAGGGAGGGTCAGAGGGAGAAGCAGACTCCCTGCTGAGCAGGAAGCCCGATACGGGACTTGATCCTAGAACTCCAGGATCATGACCTGAGCCGAAGGCAGTCGCTTAACCAACTGAGCTACCCAGGCGCCCAAGAAGTCATCCAATTTTTCTCAGAGATAGGTCTGTGAAAGGAAACTAACCAAAAAATAGTTTAGTGGATGCTGGTGGTAGCAGTTGATGCTGCAACTACTATAAGGAGGCAAGAGTTGAGAGAGAAACAAACAAAAAAAAAGTGTATTAAACAAAAAGACAAGTACAGGAACAGAACTTGCTCATATTTTCCTAACATTGGAACTGGATCACTGATGTAAAAATATGGTTAAATGTTTATAGCCTAATAAATATTAACACACTCAATTTTTCAATTCATAGCAGTGTGAATTATTCAATGCTTGGAATAACTCCAGCTTGACTTTAGAGTGACTATCTCAGATGACAATGATCCTTGACATAATTCACTGTGCAAAATGTAAACATCAGTGTTGACTTTAATGCATAATAAACCAAAGCATGTTACAAGGCACAAAGAGTTGTCAAATCACATAATGGGCAAAAATTTCATTCCTTATGACACAATTACATTAATTAATTAATTTCTTCTTTTGCCTTCGTCAACTGCAAGATTCAATGTGAGTGGGAACATAAGTACCAGCTCTCAAGCTCCCATTCACCACCACACACATCTGATTTACCTTCTGCCATGTCTCTGACACACTGCTCTAAACCATTTGTTTTGTGGCTCAAGAAAAGACATATCTAATTTGAGACCACCAGGGCCAAGAATAATAGCAACAACCTACTATAAGTTACTAAAATATCTGATCTTCCTACTTAAATACCTTAATTCCTAGCCTGTATAGTCAAGAGCAAAATAATAAACCACATTCTTAAAGAGGAGTAGTAAGCAAAGCTACTTGTTAAGTGTTAAGAAAAAAACAGTCATTTCCCTAGCTATACCATAGCTGTAAATGTAACAGAAAATAATTGGGTATGAAAGATTTGTTTTTAGTGCAAGAGAAAAAGTCTGTACAATACAAAATAATGAGATGACATCCTTCTACATCTCACCTGTAGATTTAGACTGGAGAATGTCAAATTACAATTGCTTTGCTGCATATAAGGTAGCTTAGAAAAGTGACTCACTATAAACAAAACAAAACAAAAAATGCAAACCTGAACCCTAAAATAAATATAAATTACTAGATTAAGCTTCCTTCAAAATAGGTTGATATAAGAGTTGAACCTTAGAGGTGCCCGGGTGGCACAGTTGGTTAAGCATCCGACTCTTGGTTTCGGCTCAGGGCATGATCTCAGGGTCATGAGACTGAGCCCTGTGTGGACTTCATGCTCAGTGTGGAGTCTGCTTAAGATTCTCTCTCCCTCTCCCTCTGCCCCTCCCCACTCCGTGTGCACCTGCACATGTGCACTCTCTCTCTCAAACATATAAATCTTAAAAAAAAAAAAAAAGGGTTGAACCTTACATTTTCACTAGGCATGTCACAACTCATGAGTATGAATGATCTGTCATCCAGGCACTAAAGCAGCCATCAGTGAGGGTTTTAGTAATCATTTCTTTTCAAA